GAAAGTATTTTATTTGGTTGTTTTCTCTTTTTCTCCTTTGCCATGAGATATAGTCATCAGAAATGGATATTGACTTTTATTATCTTTTTTGCTTCTAATGAAGATTTTATTATTTTTCTTTATTAGTAGACAAATTTTATTGGTAAAATTTTCTAAAGCTTTTAACATTTTGGAGAGAAATCCAATTATGTATTATCTTTTCTAGTATTTTTTTTCTAAAACACTAAAATTCAAGGAGTTCAAGTTTTATTTTTAAAATTAATTATTAAAATTAATTGTAAATTGTTGGTTCATACATGTTGCTTTCAAATGTACTTCACTTGTGGCTGAGCAATTAAGTCTAGTATTTAGCTAATAAAGTAAAATGTTAGGAGCCTTTACACGACACTATTATTAACAGCTAGATGTTCTATTACTACCACACGAGTTTTACTTGGGTTTGAGGGTGAATTTGGCAAGTTGCTTACTTTAAAGACAATTGTTATTATAGCTCTTTTGGCTGTATCTCAGCACTTCTGGTAGGACTTGAAACTTGCTTGCCTTTGAATCTTTTTTGAGCCTCTGTTACCTGCCTGTTGAGCTAAGCTTCCCATGATAGATCTGAACAAACCCCCCAAACTCTGGACTTGCTAGCTTTTATCTTATTAGGAAAGATATTTAATCACACCATCACATATGATGGTGTTATGAAAGAAAGGATTATGATACCGCAAGACTGTCTTAAGAGAAACTTCCTCTAAGTAATTCCAGGAATTACTTGAAGAAATTATAATTGACCTGTGGCTTGAAGGTAGAGAAAGAGTTTGAGCATGTTTTAAATAGAGGGGATAACATTCATAGTCTGTGGAAAGAGGTGAAAAAAAGTGAGTTTTAGGGACAGAACCCACTATTCTAATTTGGATTGTTGGTGACTTCGGTAAACAGTTACAAACACTATTTGGTGGCTTGGGTTAGAAATAAGAATTTTCCATTTTCCAAGTGAATAATGCTAATTTTATTTTTACATACTATCTTTGACTTTGTATCACATGTGTTTTATAAAAGTCAGTCACATTTTCTGAAGGACATTTTGATTTTTGTAGATCTTGTAAAGCTGTTTTTTTGGTCTATGAAAGAAAACTGTGATTCATGAATTTTATTCTCTTTCCTTGTACCCTGTGGATCAGGCCTTGAAGGAGTTTTACCTGGAGGCCTGCTCAGCTGCTGCTCTGGGAGAGACTGTGGGCTTTTGTTTGGGTTTTGGATTTTGATTTTTTGAGATAGGGTTTTTCCATGTAGCCCTGGCTGTCCTGGAACTCACTCCTGTAGAGCAGGCTGGCCTTGAATTCAGTGGTCCACCTGCCCCCTTGGTTAAAGGTTTGCACACCTTTCCTCTACCCCCACCCCCAGCTGAGGTGCCAGTGGTTAGAGAGAAAACTAATGAGGCCACAAAGAAGTAGTTGAATTGGTTTAAGCTCTGGTGTGGTGTCCTGGGAGTTTGAAGTTGATGCTTCTATTTCTGGAGGCTTCTGTGTCAAGCAGTTTTCAGGCCGTCTAGAAACAAACAGGTGGTGTGCATATAGCATGCCCTAATATCCTTCTTCAGGGACCCACTTGGACTAAGAACTACTGGTTCCAGGGATTTTTAGATACCACAGGAATTACGGAATTATAATCTTTAATGGTGACTTTAGAAATAGAAGGTTGGTGTAACTGTGAGTGCTATTGTAGACACATAGACAAAGGTAGTATTGGCACTGGTCTAGAGGGAAGACTTTCCCACCAGTTTTGCCTTTAAAGATGTAGGCCTTGTCTTATGGTTTGTTGTCTTCTACATTTTTGCAGATTTCCCCCCAAGTTGCTATTATTGTCTGTTTAGGGAAGCTGAAAAGGTATAAGAATGCAGGTCCTGGTCCCAAAGGACAATGATCATATAGCCTGAGTCATCAATTAGCTGTGTCTCTGGCTGTGTGTGGGGAGTGGGTGGTAATGAGAAAGGCAGAACAACTCAAAGAGAATGAAGGAACCCAATTCAGAACTTTGCGGGACTCTAGCCTAGGGTTCTCTCACCCATTCTTCTAGGAATCACATGTGTTTGGCAGAGGCTTTCTGTCATATGAAAAAAGGAGGCTAAGAGAGGTGATAGATGTTTAATGTCACCTACCTAGTGAAGATACCACATGCCTTATGGAAAGAGATCCTAGTTCAGTGTATTCTGTATTGCTGAAAGGGCTATGGAGAATAAGGAGACTATGACTAAGTAATTTTTGGAAATACTGTGTTAGGCATTTCTGTCACAGAGCTCAGGCCCTGTGAAATGGTCATGTTTCGTTAAGAAGCCAGGAAAAGATAGGTGGGATATATTGTGGCCTGTATGTACCCTTGCCATCCACTTCGGGGCTGACTGTAGATGGTAGTATATAATGCCTGTTTGCAGGGCTTCAGTGCTGGGGGAGGATGCTTTACAGTTGTGCCTTGAGCTTTTGCAAACATGGTGGGCTTTGAATGTTACTGAGCAGTTAGGTGAGGCAGCGCAGCTCTGGAAGCTGTTACTGTACTTAGTGATTGCATACTGTGCCCAACAGGTTTGCCCACCCATCCTTTACAAGCCAACTAAAAGCCAATTTAATAATGAAAAGCAGAAAAGGGGAATTTATTCAGTGTGGCCACATTACAAAGTTTGGACTTGAGGGGAGTTGTCACTGAATCTTTGTCCTCCTCTCAATTGGCTCTTTTAATTGGCTTACTGAGGACAGGTGGCTTATTGGAGCATGGGCTGTTAGCCCCTAGCTTCCTCCCGGAGACTCCGCTACTTGTCATGAAAACAGAAACTTCCCTTGAAAGAGCTAGCTCTCCTGTGTGACTGTCCTTGGGGATCCTTGGGGAACAGTCCTAGGCCCTCCACTTTTCTGAACCTGTGTGTAGCCCATGCTTGCATAGAGTAAGTTGGGGAGACTTGGCTGAAAGTGACAGAGCACCCACCTGGCAGACCCTCCACAGGGTTTGAAAACTGGGGCACACAGTTGAGGGCTCCAGCAGAATCTCCCTTTCTCATCTGTTTTGCTCCATGCTGGCAGGTTGTCCTCATGCTGATTGTCTCATGGCTGTAGCTGTTACGACATTATGTGTCACAGCTGCTTTGGAAGAGAATCAGTAGTTTGGTCAGTTTGGACTTTGTAGCCAAAAGGCTGTTTTCTCAGTTGGCTTTGTCCATTTCTTAATCCACAGAGAGAAATATTTTCTTGGTAGTTTCTTGTTTATTAAATTAGTGTTATGTGGTTACCCCTGGCTTTGGATAGATGGGAAAGATTTGGTTGGCATAGATGGATTATGGTATGTTCTATTGGGCACACTATTCTATTTTTGGTAAGCTAGCTTTGTATTTTGTGTGTGTGTGTGTGTGTCTGTGTGTCTGTCTTCTATTTAACCATCTATTGAAGGACATGTGGATTTTTCTAGTTTGTGCCTATTATGAGTAAAGCTAATATGAATGTTTATATAGACTCTTCTTCCAGTTTAAGAATTATGATAAAGTATATATAATTGATCACATTAGACTTCTTGAAGTAAAATGGCATTAGGTACATTTGTATTATTTCGTAGTCACGAGTCTCCTTCATCTCTAGACCTCTTTTATCTTGGAAACAAATTCTGTGCCCATAAAACAATGACCCCCTACTCCACTCCCTGGATAACACTGTTCTGTTTGCAGCTCTGTAGCTTCACTGTCCCTACATAGCTCACATGAGTGGAACAATATTTGCCTTTCTATGACAGGAGAGCATTGTAGGTTTTTGTTTGAACACAACCTTTCATTTCTGAGATAAATGTGCAAGAGTATACTTGCTGGAATCTGTTGACAGTTGCATGTTTAGTGTTTTTTTTTCCTTTTTCTTTTCTTTTATTTTATTCAAAGAAATTACCAAACTAGCTGGGCTGTGGTGGCACAGGCCTTTAATCCCAGCACAGGCCTTTAATCTTGGGAGGCAGTGGCAGGTGGGTCTCTGTGAGTTCGAGGCCAGCCTGGTCTACAAAGCGAGTTGTAGGACAGCCAGGGCTGTTATTCATAGAAACCTTGTCTCAGAGGAGTATATATCACCAAACTTTCCCTGGAGTGGTATATCTGTTTTACATTCTGTCCAGCATTATTTAGGTCAGTTTCTACGGAGGTGACTCTGGCCATCATGGCATGTTCCCTGTTTAAAGAGTAGTCATGCCAGTTTCTTTGGAAAGTAATGGCTCTAGCAAGTCTCCTCCTCCACTGTGTTCATGTGTGTGAATACGTCGTGACTCTGAAGAGAAGATTGAGATCTCTCTCACAAAAGCAGAGCTGGGGAGAAAATGCAGTTGTTGAGAATGTGGCATTGCTAGTAAGAAAGTGAAATTGCGCTGCCACCCTGGAAAAGGGTTTTCTTAAGAAAATGAAGCATGGTATCCCTCATGGAGCAGCGGTTATACTCTGGGCAGTCCCAACCCAGTGTGCCCACTAAATCGAGTAGAAGGCTCAGTTGGGAATTGTTGTGTTATTTAGTCTTGGCCGTTTGCAAAGCAGCCTCAGCAGCATCTGCTGCACTAAATAAATGAAAGTTTCCTGTCTGTAATTTCCCCTGTCTCTTCCCTCTGTCCTGGGTTCATCCGTTTGTTCCCTCTGCTCTTTAAACCCACTGATGTCCTCTCTCCCCCTCCCACTGGTCCTCTTGGACCTTCCTGCTCCCATCCTTGCTCTCATTCCATGGATCCCTTCAAGTTTCTGCTGTAGTTTTTTTTGCTCTCTCTCATGGAATTAGAACTTTCTTCTAGTCGTACAATATTTACTCAGCATCTAGAATACATTTTCCTTCTCATTCCACCTTATATTTATCCTGCTCTTTGGGCAGATATGAGTTTCGGTCCCTAGTAATTCTTATCTTTTAATGGGGGGCATTAGAATTTAGAGGGAGAATTTTAAGATTTGGTGTACTACTTTTTCTTCCCATTTTTTTTTAAATTTAAGTTTATTTTTATTTATTTTTTGCTCACAGGGAAGAAGAAGAGCGTCTGAGAAATAAGATCAGAGCTGATCATGAGAAGGCCTTGGAAGAAGCAAAAGAAAAATTAAGAAAGTCAAGAGAGGAAATCCATGCAGAAATTCAAACAGAGAAAAGTAAAGTAGCCCAAGCAATGAAGATAAAGGAGACCAGGGTACTGCCACCTGTCCCTGTCCCACAGCGTGTAGGGGTCAGTGGTGGAGACCCAGAAGACACTGAGATAAGGAAGAAAAGAGAAAAAATTAAAGAGGTAATAAGCCGAGAGTGGTGATTTGGCGTGCTTGCAGATACGTATCTGACTGAATATTATGTAGTGTTACATACTCGTTGTGTTTGTTCTTCGGGGTAGTTGTAATTCACTGCCCAGGCTGATAACAGGGATTGGAGTGCTGTCTTTTTCTTATTGATCATAATCTAAGTTTTTGAAATAAAAAATTTAATTCAAGTTTGTTTAGATGGTTCCTTTACCTTCACTGTGTTTGAGCTCTTTTGAAACACAGGCCTTTCTAATGAGTAGAATGTAGAATCTGTGTATACGTTTTGTTTATTGAAAAGCAATTTAAAACATTCAGTTTGAAGGAGCTGTACCAGATACTGTGCAGATCCTGTCACAGACAAGACTGTAAACAATCGGTGCTGTAGGAGCCATGTTTGAGGGACTGTGCTACTATTAGGACCATGCTCCTTCCAGAGATTCTTTATGGATTGAAGGATAGAAAAAGATTAATTTCAAAATTCTTTAAGTTTTTTAGCTTTAGAAGTCTTTCAAGTTCTAATTCTAGATTTACCGATTAAGAATTACTGATTGCCGGGCTATGGTGGCACACGCCTTTAATCCCAGCACTCGGGAGGCAGAGGCAGGCGGATCTCTGTGAGTTCAAGACCAGCCTGGTCTACAGAGCTAGTTCCAGGACAGGCGCCAAAAAAGCCACAGAGAAACCCTGTCTCGAAAAATCAAAAAAAAAAAAGAAAAAAAAAAGAAAAAAGAATTACTGATTAAGATAGTGCCAGCTCTAGTGAATTTGAGTTAAATGAGTTAAACTGTTTTAACTGGGGCTCCTGATAATTGTAAGTATAGTTTACCGTTATACTGCTTGAGAAGAAGCTTCACCAGTTGTACCTCTAGAATTTAGAATAAATTTAATTTATACAGTCAAGTATCTCTGTATATATTCTGGTAAGGGATATCTGTCTTGGTCTGGCAGTGTTTTGACAGGAGCTACAGAAGGGAGGGAGGGATGGAGGGTAGGCGGGTGTATTTGGGCTCACAGTTTGAGAGGACCTTGCGGTGTCAGGGATGGTTAGTTGGCTAGTCAGTCGTATCTGCAGTCGGGAAGTGAGAGATGTGAATCTTGAACTCAGCTGGCTTTCTCCCTCCCCCACCCCTTTCCTGGTTTGAACCAAGTGGAAGGGATGGTGGTGCCACTCACTTTTAGCTTGGGTCACTGGAAACACCCTCACAGACATAGCCAGAGTTGTTTCTTCAAGTGGTTCCTTATTCCTATCCTTTGAACAAGGGCATTAGGCATGGCTGATTCTAAGTCTGTAATATGCATTTGTCTCTGTCTCTTTCCTTTTGTTGCTTAGTTTTTCTTTGTTAAGAGAGAGTTCGCCATTTAGGATTAAATTATATTACATAAACCTTGAGATCATATAATGAGATAATCTCCTTACTCTTAATGACTATACTCATATGAATACAAAGGACTTGATTAGCCTACTTGATCCATATACCTTTCCAGTCACTGTGACTAGAGCAAGGATTGGCAAATTACAACCTGTGGGGTAAATTTCTTTCACTTGCCTCTTTTTGAGCAATCAATTTTAGTTAGAATATACACATGGCAATTTGGTTACATATTACCTAGGATTGCCTTGTGCTTCTGCAACACCAAATCTTCTGGTCTCTGACCTAAAGATAAGAGATTGTGTAATCAGGCTAAATTTAGTTGGTGGTGGAAGCAAAGCCCCTTGACTGACAGCCTGGTCATTATCACAGTGAAGACAGAAGAGCTGTTTTTCCAAAGTACTAGCAGTTTACAAAAGGAAAGAATGCCAAATAGCTACCTTTCTTCCCCCAAATAACTTTTTGATTACATCTAACTTTTTTGTTGTGTAGATTATAATTAAATGTAGGTGTTAGAGTTTCTGTTGCTGTGATGAAACACCATGACCAAACGGCAAGTTGGGGAGGGAAGGGTTTATTTGGCTTATACTTTCATATTGCTCTTCATCATTGAAGGAAGTCAGGACCGGAACTCAAACAGGGCAGTATCTTGGGGACAGGAGCTGATGCAGAGGCCATGGAGGGATGCTGCTAACTGACTTACTTCCCTAGCTTGCTCAGTCTGCTTTCTTAGAGAACTCAGGACCTCCAGTCCAGGGATGGCATCATCTACCATGGATTGGGCCCTCATCCATCAATCGCTAATTAATAAAATGCCCTACTGCTGGGGAATCATTTTCTCAATTGAGGGTCCCTCCTTTCACATAACTCTGGCTTGTGTCAGGTTGACATAAGAGTAGCCAGCACAGTAGGTATCGGAAACAAGTGGTAATTGAATATGAATGATAATATGCTAATGCAGGAAACATGGCAGCATGGATTAAAGATAGAATAACCCAACTCTACACCGTATGAAGTAAAATAGTCCAAGGATAGCTTCAAATTGTGTATTACAATTTTTCTCTTCTCAGATGATGAAGCATGCCTGGGATAATTACAGAACATACGGATGGGGACATAATGAACTCAGACCTATTGCAAGGAAAGGGCACTCCACTAACATATTTGGTAAGGCAACTTTTTCAAATTACTGTTTTTTCTTTATTTTTGAAAATGAGACCTGATTTTTTAAAGTTCTCTCCAAGATCTCTATTTCTGTGCGATGATAATTTGAACTTTTTATTGATGAGGTGAGAGAATTATTAGGAACATATGAACAAAATGGTATATAGCTTATGTACAAAGATGAAAATATATTTGTATATATAACTTAAGCCATTGAAGGAAAAAATTAGTCTTACTCCCATGCCCAAAAGAGAGAGAAAGAGGAAGAAAGAAATGAAAGACTAGTAGGTGGTCCTGTGTGTTCAATTGGGTTTGCTTTGTGCAGTTCATTTCAAAATCAGGATTATTTGTTAAAGGTGATGGTGTCTTGTATTTTGGTTTTCTCTGTGTGTATTTTATTTAATGGCTTCCTTTTTCTCTACCTGTTTTTTATTATTAAAGAACATTAACACTTTAGTATGCTTAGCGTTATCCAACCTTATAAATTTATTATATATGTGTATTGTATATATATATATATATATATATATATATATATACACACACCCCTCTTCTTTGAGTTTGAACCGCAATGCTCATGTTGTGACTTAGCTTGTCATTGTGAACAGCTGCCCTCCTTCCTTGAATCCTTACTCACCTACATTTTTTTATACCTTACTTAAGTATATATTTATCTACTGTTAGTTTTTATTTTTTATTAGCTCCCAGAATTTTATCTCTTATAAACTAGATCAAACTGTTTCTATTACCTGGTCTAATAGAAAAGTGAGCAATGACTTTTTTTTGATCATTATAATGCTTGATTTACTTTTAATATATACAATACTAAAAATTGACCTCCTATGAAGGGGATGTTTTTAACAACAGCTATTTTTTCCTCTTAAATATAGGAAGCTCACAGATGGGTGCCACCATAGTGGATGCGTTGGATACCCTTTATATCATGGGACTTCATGATGAATTCATGGATGGGCAAAGATGGATTGAAGACAACCTTGATTTCAGTGTGGTGTGTATACTTTGGCAGTTCATCTAATTTCTTAAATTAATGATGAAAGGACAGTTTTAATGCTCTGGTATGAATATTTGTGTTCTCCCAAATTCTTGTTGAAATCTAGTCACTAATGTGTTGGAATTAGAAAGGGTATTTGGGAAGTGATGAGTTAGTTCATCAGGACAGAGTCATTATGGATATAATTAGTTCCTGTATAGCATAGTTCTCAGAACTACTTTGCTCGTGCATGAGAGGTCACATAAGCACCATTGTGAACCAGTTGAATGGCTCTCATCAATCACTGAGTCTGCTGGGACTGTTTACCCTGGACTTCCTAGATCCCAGGAAGATGAGGAATATATTTCCAGAAGTTGTCAGTTACATATGGTACGTGGTGCTTGAGACTAGCAAGTCTCATTGGTTGAAGGTATCAGTTGTGCTGTGAGCATGTTCCCAGCAGTTTGTTGAATCCATGTTAAGTCCTCATTCTTCTTTTGGGGATTATCATTTGTTTTGTTATTTTTGTGTAAATACTCATCCTTTCTCACTATCTTTTCATATTTCTTGCAATTATCATTTAAGACAGTGTCTTAGCCCGCTAAGGACATAGCAGGGAGAGGCAATGAACTAAAGTCTAACAAACTGATAACTGCTTTATTAATACTTATTTTATAGCATTTATAGTAATAGTGGTAGAATAGTAGACGACATTTGATTAGAGTAAGTAGCGGTGGAGTGTTGCTAACTATTGAGAAGTTCCTTATTAATGTGACATTTCTGAGAAGATAGTCCAGGAAAGCCATGTACATGTGGCTGTAAGGCTTACTGTTAATAGATAGAATTAGAGGTTTGAGATTATATATTCTCTTGCCTTTTAAAAGCATATGCCTATCATCTTGCTTGTTGTACTGTGTTGAAATATCTATTAGTCTCGTTGTTAAAAGGTGATCTGCCTCTCCTTCTTACTTCCCCACAATGTTCTCTAATTCTATTAGAACATGAACTGTTGTTCAAAGACTCAAAATGAGGGTTTTTATTTTCATTAACTTTGTAAAATTCTGTCATTAATTTACCTCTCTGCTTCATCTCTGTTTCTTCTTTCTCTCCATTTAGAACTTTTCTTACCGTCTCTCTCTAGTGAGAGAAGACAAGAATTTTACAAATAACTATACAGCAATAAATGATGTAAATATTACTTGTAATATAGTGTGAGGTAAAAGCTATTACTGATGACTGACTGCTATTTTAAACCCAGTAGCCAGAATACACTCTGCTAGGTGATATTTTTGTTCAGAGGTCTGTAAGAGGTGATAGAATGATTCACACAGTGAGGTGAGGGAATGCGGTCAGCTAAAGTGACATCAGGCCTCAAGTCTGCCATCCTGGGACTAGCAAGCAGGCCCATGTGATCATATCAAACAAAAGAATCTTAAATTAGTTAGGTGGCAGAAAAAATGTGAGGGATCTGAACATAATGGATCTTAGTGGGCATTTTACTCAAAGAGCAACAAGAGGCTGTTGGAAGAGGTTGAACAGAGTAGACTTTTAAACTGCTTAGACTATAGGGCACTGAATCTGATGTTGAGTCTTGGGCCATAAGACTTAAATATAGTTTTAGGCTGTTTTCTTTCTTTCTTTCTTTCTTTCTTTCTTTCTTTCTTTCTTTCTTTCTTTCTTTCTTTTTTTGTCTTAAGGGTCTTGGGTAAGACAGACAGACTGAGAATTTTTCTCTCATGAGTTATGGCCAAAAGTGTAATTAAAATAAAACAAAAACCCTAATTTATAGAGCCCCATTAAACATGCAATATAGAGAGGAGGGTATGTACGAAAGTGAAAGCAGAGAAGTGAGTATGAAGGCTATTGTTACCATATGCTGTTTACTGAATGTCTACTGCATGACCTATTGTTTGCTATATATTGGAAATACATGAATTGATCTTAAGCACTGCTTGCAGGGGTAGTGGTAGAATGAAGGATGCCTCAAGACTAACATGGATCACCATGGAGTCCCTCAGTTTCCTATTGACTCTTGCTCAGCTCTGTGTGCTATTCATCTGAGAGGGTCAAGCATTGCTTGAGGCAGGCGTCCTAATCTCTAATGTATAAGAGAGGATGTACCTCAACTCCACACATTTCATGACTCCTTTGACTTCATTCGCAAGGTTGCAGCCAATGTGACCACCTGGGTGGCTGGATGTCCACATTAGAGCTGCATGTGGAGATGTGGAGGCCAGCACACATCTTCCTTGATTGCTTAGTGCTCTCTACCTTGACGGTCTCTCACTTGAACCCACAGCTTACCTATTCAGCCAGTCTAGCTAGCTCTCCCATCTCTGCCTCCTGTTTGCTGGGATTTCATGGAGGACTGTCATACCTCTTTGGCATTTATGGGAGAGCTAGGGATCTGAACTGCAGTCCATACACTTTCATGATGATTTACCTGATGAACCATCTTCCCAGCCCCAGAACTTTCCCAATATCTAAGCCTATATGCTTATAGCATATCGATTCTCTTATATAGAATGTTTATACCGGGCATCGGATCATCTGGGCCTCGAGTTATGGACACTTCTGAGCTTCCATATGGGTGCTGGAAATTGAACCAGGTCCTCTGAAAGAGGTTTTGTCTATTGCTATTTATTATAAAAACTTTTTTATATTTATATATGTATGCATGATTCATTGTGAAAGTAGGGATCATTGGATAGCTAGTAAGAGTCTGTTCTCTCCTTCCACCTTGAAATTCTACAAAATTGTTTGTATATTACATATGTAAATATTTGTGATAAATTTGCTTCAGTTTGTTTGCCTTTTAGTTTTGTTTATGATCTTTTGTTTATGATAATTTGCATTTTAGGGAAATTTAAAATTCATAACTGATTTATTACAAAATTTTGATTTTATTCTTACACATTATCTGCTTAAGTTTGCAAGTTGTCACATTTTCTTCTACTTCTGTATTTTAATTTTAAATTTCTAAACATTCGTTTTTCCTTTTGGTGTATATATGCTGTGAACATAAACCTTGGTTTTTGACAGGAGCTGGTTTTCAGGAGTATTGGTTCATTAACCATAATTCTCCTGGTTTTTGGCCTCTCTTTTAATAATTGTTATGTTATTAGGCACTAGAAAAATATTTAGTATTCATGAGAAGAAATAGAAATAGAGTTTGTGATATAATAATTAAAAATAATGGAATCATTAGAGAAGTTTCTTTTTTTAGGATTCATGATCCATTATTTAGGAAGTGGAGGCCTTCAGAAGGGCCAAAGGCAGCCAGTGGTAGTAGTAAGGCAATAAGTTTACAGCACTGTGTAGGGTCCATCTAAAGGGTCCATTGATTTTGGCACTTAGGAAGCTGTGGTGACAGGCATAGAGGAATTTTGCTGAACTAACAAAAGATGAGGTTGCGTGGCATGAGAAATGAAAATACAGAATATTAAGACTTTTTTGTGTACAATTAAAGTACTAAAATATTTGAAAATTGTAATGTATTTTGTGTATGTGAGTGTTTTTACTTTGTCTCCCCAGAATTCAGAGGTGTCTGTGTTTGAAGTTAACATTCGGTTTATCGGAGGCCTCCTCGCTGCATATTACCTGTCAGGAGAGGAGGTAAGTAGTCAAGAAACACCTGTGCTTGGCCAAGCAGGGCCATGACTGGCAGTGAAATGGAGCGCATGCCTAGCGGCGCTGTTGTCTAGTTTGAATGTTACTAAACTAACCTAGGATTTTTTATTAGGACAAATTTTAGAATCTGCTTCGCTAGTTTTTTACAAAATTAAAATACAGACATTAAGGTTAGGGGATAGTTTGGAGGAGATCTGTTCTTTCTTTCTACCCTGTAGGTTCTGGGGGTTGAAGTCAGATAATTACCCTGGTGGCAAACATCTTTATCTCACTTGTATACCTGAGGAGGACTGAAATTAGTGTTGAGTATTGTCTTATTCTTTCCACCTTATATATTGAGGTGGTGTCTCTCACTTGAGCTCAGAATCTGTAGGTCTGGGTAGTCTAATGAGCCAGGCTGCCCCAGGGAATACTATACAAACGTTGGTATTAGATGGGCTGTCATGCCCACCTTGCTTTTTCTTTCTTTCTTTCTTTCTTTCTTTCTTTCTTTCTTTCTTTCCTTCCTTCCTTCCTTCCTTCCTTCCTTCCTTCCTTCCTTCTTTCTTTCTTTCTTTCTTTCTTTCTTTCTTTTTTTTGGTTTTTCAAGACAGGGTTTCTCTTTGTAGCATTCTATAGACCGGACTGGCCTCAAACTCACAGAGATCTGACTGCCTCTGCCTCCCCAGTGCTGGGATAAAGGTGTATCACCACTGCCTGAGCCCACCTTGCTTTTTAAGTGGTTTCTGAGAATCTAGACTCTAGCCTTCACACTTGTACAACAAATGGTTTGCCCTCTGAGCCATCCCCTAGCCCCCATTTTTTAATTTTGTGTTAATCAGTTTGTGTATTTTGCATAAATAATGCTGGCTTCTTAAAATGAATTGCACTCTTCTTTTTCTCTGGTAAAGTTTGTATAAACTTGATTCTTTTACTTAAGAAGTAGAATTTCCTTATGAGGCAACTTAAGCTTTGATTCTCCCTACTCTCACCTTTTTTAATATGTTCATTTATCTGGCAGATATAACATGGTTGAAAATGAAGTGTGTTTTATCTTTACACAAAATAGTATATGATTCTGTGTACTTACACAGTGATGCCCCATCAGACATACCCAAGTATTGGTCTCATTTCATGCTGGAAAATTGGCAGTTTTGAGTAGAACAGCTTAAGGAGGTTGCTTTAAACACTGTTGGGAGGGGGAAGTTTGGGGTCAAGTAGAGGTGGGCAGAATATCCAAGATTGAGCATTCTGTTTTTTAACTGCCTGGGAGAAATCTAGTCCCCACAAGCTTTCTGAAGAAGGCAGCCTCTCTTGACCTAGGAAGAAGAGTTCAGACTTCCTGGTTGGCTGTAGGCTGAATCAGAGGATAGAGTTGAGTAGCAAAAATTGCAGACTCATTCCAGAAGACTAAAAACATCTTTGGTGATCTTAGGGGGACTAAAAGCGTGAGCTGTAAACACCAAACTTTCTAACTCTAAGTAAAAAATTCTTTGCAAGATTAAAATGGAAGTCTAGATCTAGAGCCTGGCTTTGTTTCAGGGCTCAGAGAGAAAACACTAAATACTAGCCCCTCTCGTAGTCAAAAGGGAAAGCTAGAATTGTAGACCAAGAGATCCCATAAGCCATAGTGACCACACTCACACCGCTCTTGAAGCCCTGTGCCAAGGTCATGGTCTAAAATGAATTGGTAACTATAATACAGAGTTTTGTAAGTTCTACTTGATAACATTTAAATCACTGTTTTTCTATTTTGTCCTTTTCCTGTGGAACTGTTCCCACTCTGTTTCAGGGTGAAGGGCAGGGCAGAAATAATCAGAGAGAATGCTGAGGGCAGTAAGTGGGACAACTGCTGAGACTGGATCTAACTACCCACCCTCACTTATTCTATAGAAAGAGTTCCTTTTCTCTCCCTTTGCTGGACATAGGGCCTTGGGATAAAGGCTAGGCAGAAGCAAAATGAAGAAACAGCACAGCACATTCCATTTTTCATGCTTAAACCTTTTTCAACAAAGAACAAGGAAGTTGAGAAGACTGTATGTAGGAAGAGAACAGCCTGGGCATGTGAACTAATTCAAGAGGAAGAGGCTGTCTCTTGTCCTACATTCAAATCTGTGATAACTGTCTCTGAAGGCATGAGAGAGAAAGAAAGAATGGGAAATGTAGTGGAATGTGGGGAAGGCGCCCACAACTGGTAGATAGAGCTTTAAGGATCCTTTGGGAGTGTGAGTGTCCGTTGGGAACTGGACGAGAAATCATGGCTTATGTGTGGAGTTTTGAGGTCCTGAAGGAGTGACTACTTTTTGTGATACTTGGCTGATTGATTATAGTAACTAAGATTCTGTAGCATAGGGCTACCTCTCTCGTACTACATTTTGGGATTTTCTCCATGACTGCTTTCATCTATACTTTTATATACAACCAAGAAAAGCCCCTATGTGTTTGCAGAGAGCTTGCTTAGCTACATCTTTCTTTAGCATTGACCCAGTAAAGTGAAGAGGCAGTATAGACTGAGCCACAAGCCTCAGCTTGTTTCCATGGTAGCTTCTAGACACAGGGAAATATATATCCATAGTGCCTTGTTTTCTTAGACTTAATAAAATCATTTTTGTGTATTTGTGTGTTTGTGTGTGGGTATGTGCACATATGCTGGTGCCCATGTAAGCCATAGAGTTGGATTTCCTGGAGCTGGAGTTAAAGGCCAGCATGAGCCACCTGACGTGGGAATTGAACTGGGGTCTGTGGAAGAACGATGCACTCCATCTCTGTAGCCCTTTACTGCCTTACTTATAAACCTTAAGATTTCCTATATATTCCACCAAGTTTTGTATTTCTTTTTTAGTATATTTTAAAAATAATTTTTAAAACTATGCCCACTTTTTAAATACATTTTTGTAATATTTTATCTCCATAATTGACTTATCATTTGTACTGTGTGTTTGTGTGTTTAATGCTGTATTAGAGACTACATCCAAGGCCTCTTGTGCAAGACAGTTTACCTATGAGCTATACACCCCTTTTAGATTTATTTATTTTATGTTTTGCCTGCATGTATGTATGTGTATGAACCATGTACCTGCATGCCTGGTACCAAGGAAGTAAGAAGAAGGTATTAGATCTTGTAGAACTGGAGTTACTCTGATTGTTAGCCATTATGTGGGTGATGGGAATGGAGCCCAGGTCCTCTGCCAGAGCAATAAGTACTCTTAATGGCTCGGACATCTTTCCAAACACATACACCAGCTCCTTTAAAAATGTTGGGACAAGTCTCACAAAGTTGCTGAGGAGACTAGTTTCCATCTCTTGCCTTAGCCTTTTGAGCGGCTGGACACGCAGGTGTGCGCTGTCATCTAGCCTAGCTTAAGGGCTCTGTTGGGGACATTTTGGAAATAGCTGCTCCTTGTTCTTACACACAAGTGTTTAATTTATTCTCTTCTAGTGCCTGGCTCTAGACCTAACTGAATCGTATGGGAGAACTTTGTAATGTTATCCTCTCAATTCTTTTCTTTCTTTTTTGTTAGGTCTTTTAAGTCTTATGCTAAAATCCATAATATGTTGCTATAATTTTTTACTTTCGATGTCAACTACATTGTAGAGCTATTCAATGTAAAGGGAGACACTTTTTACTGACCTAAATTTTAGTGAGTTTTGTTAGTCTTTATTTTTGTTTATTGATTCTGTATTTTATCCTTTTGTGTAATGAGCCTCCTAGAGCTTTTTAAAAGTCAATCTGCTACTAGTGAATTCTGTTTTTGTTAATCTTGGTCTTTATTTCTTCCTTATTTTTTTATTTTATTTTATGTTTTAAACATAATTTTTATTGATCCTTTTCCCAGTTCCTCTGTATCCATCATTCACCCCTGTAGTGATCTCCTCACCAGAAAAATTTTAAAAGAAATAATAAAAATATAATAAAAACAAAGAAATACAAATAAGAATATAATTAAAAAACAAAAAAGCAAAATCACAGCAAGCAAACAAAAAACAAGAAAAACCACTTTGCTCCTTTATCTTTCCCTCCTCTCCATGACTTCTTCATTTGTTTTAGTGGCACTGGGAGATTCTTCGTATCATGTAATAGACTCTTGTCCAAACGGCTTCACTTGCCAGTGTTCACTGCGTCGAGTATTGTCAGTCAGGTTCAAGGCCTCTGACTTCTGGTATACCGTCAATGCTGGACCCTCACCAAATCTCCTCTCAGATATCATACTATTGCCCCAAATCTTGGAGCTCCTGCGCCTATGGTTCCGCAAGGCCAATCCCTTCATGTGCTTCAGCCTGTCATAGATGTTGAGAGTTGTCAACTCAAAAAAACCCTCGATGTGTGCTTGGGTGGTAGTTGTGTAGGTCATATTAGGCTGCTGGGACCACGCCCTCAGGTGAAGGGTGGAGCCAGCTATTCCAAGTGCAGGGGACCAGCAGGACAAGCTCTCTCTGAGCCAGTGAGGGTCAGGACCAGCTCAGCGTAGCCATCTTATTTCAACACGTGGTTTGAATGGGTACCTGTGGTAAGATGGCAATGGACATCAACACAGACCCCAGCTGCACCAGGACCACAGGCTCAGACATGGTCAGCAACAGTAGCAGCTTGGTCCAGGTTGTCATCATTTAGGAGCTGGTTGGTGGCCTAAAAGAAAAACCCTGGTAAACACTACACACCTGCCCAAAGTGACTTGCTTTGGGTTGGAGAGGAGAAACTACAGGCCAGCACTGTGCCTTGTAGCTCCAGGCTGTCAGGTGCCACTGTGGTGAGCCAGTGTATGGTGTGGTATGGGAGAGAGAGGCAGAATGGCTCATTTCCTGTGGACAGACACAGATAAAATAGGAGAAGGCGGTGATGAAGGGGCTGAGGTGGGAGGCCCACTTGCTATCCAAGGTACATCCAGGCTGGGCTGCTGCCAAGGCCCTACTGTAGGTGGACAGTCTGTGCTGATGTCTGTGGCCCATGTTGCCACCAAAAGCCACAAGAATGCCCAGATTCTGGACTGCCACCTATGGCCATGTTG